TCCATTTGTGTCCACAAAGTCATTTGAATTCATTAAGTTGGCTCATTTAAAGAAAATGGTAAGATTCTTTTCATTCAAAATTTTGTAGAAATATTAACCCTAATCCCACGTAGAGCTTACTTCTTATACTACTCTCATTCATGCATTGACAATGATTTGCACATCAGGACAGTCAGAGTGCAAAATCATGAAAAGTCTTCATTCAGATTTTCCAAAAATACAAAACATTATCACTAGTTTGCCTTGGTAGTTCTTTTCTCTACTTTTTTGTTGCTCCCACATATCCATTGAAATAATGTATACCTGAAGCACTAACCATTTTTCAGCATTTATATCTATCAGGACAGTGTTAGCCTCTTAACCAAAATTCCAGATGCCTGCATCTGTACAAGGGTTTCAGTATGGTTAAAACACCCTCAAGTTAGACTTGCATCATGATGGCAAACATTTTTTATCATTTCAAAGTATTTCACATGTGCAGGTAAGTACTTCCCAATATCCTCTTAATCCAACTATTTGTTTTCACAGCAGTGATACCTTTTTTAAAAAACTAACATACTATATTAATAACATAGGACATAACATTGAGCATCAAAATGCACTCCAACAAACTACATAGAATAAGAAACTAGATAACCTCTGTTTGAAAAAGGAGTACTTCAAATCCCAATTCAGCAATTTTTTATCTTATCTAAGACAATTTCTGTGGTGACGCAGAATGTAAAATGTGCTACTGTATATTCAAAGTCCATATACAGCTAATTTGCCTTTTTTTTACAAAAATGTAATTGCAAAAGCAAATACATGCAGAAGTATAAGAAATCCATCATCCAAAGAAATATCAGAATTATTTATTTCAAACCAAAAATAACATACAGTACCTGAAAATCAAAATAGGAAGACTAGAGAAATAGAGGTCCTCATACTAAATTCAGACTGTGCACCTTTAGGGAAAGGTTATAGGTGTTCAAAGTGAATGCCAATTTTTATTTGCTTTCCTTTGTCAATCACATGAAGATCAAACAGACTTTTATTACTTTCTAATTTCTTGGACTCCAGCCTAGAAAGGCTCTTTTTTATAGTCAGTAAATAGTCTTCAGCATTGCCCGTAGCTCAGTAAAATTAATGGAACTTTTATGCTTTTCAGATTTTTTGGAACGGTAAGAAAACCATGTCAGGACCTGCCTTTATAAAACCTCATACAGCCTATTTTTGTCTTTTTTAAATCAGACTTGGATTTTTATCCTACAGTAAGTGGTAGATATATTGGACAAGGCATGGAAAAAATGGCTACCTGCATGTGAAAAAACAACCTTGGAAGTAAGAAACTTAAATGGATTTGTTTATTTTTGTTATTTACATGTTTCTCAAAAAGTGAGAAAGTGTGTTTTGAGTAAGATATAAAAAATCAACTGTTTCAGATTTGGTGCCCATATGTTTACCTTCAATTCAAGCCTTGAAGCAGACCTGTATTGTCTGTACATTCCAAGATAATTCGAGCAGCTACAGTATAATAGAACCAGATTTGTCACCTTACAGTATATAAATTAAGGCCAATACACATTTAATATAAAAATTCAACTATACAATTTTTCTTAATTTTTGCAAGTGTGGTGGTATAAATTAACAAAGGAGTTATGGTTTTGTGGAAAATTCATCTGCAGTTACCTTGTTTCCTGAAAAGAAGTTAAAATTTACCTTCTAATGTGTCCAATATGTTTCTGGTATATACAGTAGCATAGAAAAGTCAGCAGGATACAGTTGCCAATATGATTTTCATCAGCAATCCAAAGATTCTTTTTCAGGTTCAGGTGTGCTGATCAGAATAATCTTTTAGTTCAATGAGTTACCAATTACAGAGTTGAAGTATTGGAAAGTTTTCTGTGGTACTGTATGTATTTCCGACACATTATATCCACAGTCAAGGACAGTGTTACAGCATAATCACAATATATGCCATTGTAGCAGCTTGTATTGTATAATAAACTGGAAATTAAAAATGTAACTTGGTTATCAATTCCAAATATTTGTTTTTTCTATCTTTCAGTGCAGTCACATTGTCACAGCAACGTGGAGCCGATCCTAGAAGCATAGGGTGCAAATGCACAACAATACCCTCCGCATGACATCAGTTCATCGGAGGGTATACTGTACACAGGGCAAATTAGGTGGAAAAAATCACAAAAAGACACTTGAAGCTTCAAGGACTACCTTCTGTAGTCCTTGGAGCTGTTAGATGCCAGCACAATCTGTCTGACCACCTATATCCTCCATGTCACCCATGTATTGTTATACACTTTGCAATAAAGATAGCATATTATTAATCAGCACTATTAGTAACTATTTTATTAAAGATGGTATTGAGCCCAGAAAGACAAAAAGAAATATAGGCAGAATCAACCCATGCTTTTATTTAATCTGTTGCATATAAAAGGTTTTTTAAAATATTTTTTTGTTTTTATTTTACTGAAGGGTCAGAGCATGATCTACAGTGCTATCCAATAGACTGTAAGAGACAATGAATCCAATAAAAGTATTGTCTTGTGAAACGTCCAGACAAGTTGGCATTCTAAAGACACAAACCCATAGAAAAAATAATAGTTGTTCTGGAGCCTTTGAAATTACAGTTTGTGTATCCCTTTTAAACCATTTAAAAAACAAAATGAAAAAAAAACAAAAGCTACCGATTCCTTTGGGCCAGGGCTGCTAGAATCTACAGTATGTGTGTCAAAAGGAGGCTCTGTTGAGAAACAAGAAGGAAAAGACATACTCCTCCCACTACACAAGCACATTTCCTCTAAGCTGGACTAAGGTAGATTACATATATTGTACCTGAACTCTTATCTTGACAAAGTTTGTAACAGCATGAAATCAAAATACACTTCCACAGTTATACTGACCTATGTCTCCAAGTATATACTTGAATTTTATAGTATTGCATTCATCTGTGTTGTATACTGCATCTTATATGAATTTTTACATGTTCATTTTCAATGACACCAATAATATTTCATTTGGTGACGACTCAACCTAAACAATAATACAATGGTAAAAAATAATGGGTTTTAGTTTAACGTACAGCTTATTTAACCTTTGCACACAGGCAGTTTAGGGATAAAAATGTCCAGCCTAGTCACAAAGACATCCTAATGCAGCAGAAAAGAGGAACATATATACAAAGACAAAAATAAAAACTTTGTTTAAAGTTAAGGCACAGCCCTGGGGCCAAAGACTTGCGGCTTTTTTTTTCATTGTTTGGCTTTCCCCGGTTCTCCATAAACAAGCTCTAAGGTGACGCAATACAGAAGATAATCTTTACATTGAATAAGTATATATAATATTCATTCTCTCAACAAGAGTTTCCAAATACAGCAACACCATCCCAACAAGGGATGATATAATATGAATTGATAATTTACAATTAACATTATAATATTTACAGCACAATAAATACATGGTTGTAAACAGAGACAAACATGAAACTCTATTACAAGTAAGGTCATCCGGTGAGGAAAAAAGGCATGGCACAAAATAAAATAATTAAATAATGCATTTAAACTATCCTCTTTTCAGCGAGCACTCTGTAAAAGCTGGATTCATTCAAGTTTGTTTCATTAACAAAAAATGTTCTACCTAAATATTCTCATGATAAACAACGAAAAGTATCTAGGTGTCTGACAGAGTAACTTGCAAGCTATAATGTGCTGCTGTGAATGCTACAGTTAATGAGCTACAGTACCGTATTATATTATTAATATGGTGAAATAGCAACATGAAATACAGAAAAAGCCACTTAATTGTATTATGTCATAAAGCATTACGCAGTTTCATTGTGGTGCACAGTTTTGGCAAGAAAAAGTGAAAGTCTTCAGTGCATGTATTAAGCTATGACTCCTATATGCAGTAGATTGTCTGATAATGGGTGCTTTTTTTAAAAAAAAAATAGACAAAAACAATCCAGGTTAAGCAAATGTGTTGGGTTTCATGTATTTTTTTTCTTCCTTTTTTAATAAAATAAATTTGATACAAATTAATTATTTAATGTATTTTGTAATTATGTATTTTTTATTTAATCTACTATATTTAATTTGGCAGCACAATAAATCATTTATGATATAAAATGCATTAGATTTGTAAAGGACTTATATGAATGACCTTTTCCTTATGCATTTTCCAGATGGTCTTTTACAGTTTTCTAAGTATTATATACTGTAAGTATAAGTATTTTATTAAACGAGTAGGAAATTATGGATTGCTATTGTGCTGAACCATACACGTGATAATTCTCCCTAATCAAGTCTAATGTGATGACCAGTGTATAATTCATATACAGTAGCTTTTTTGTGTCACAGATTCTGCTATAATTTTGACAAAAGCAAGTGTAGTGTGGTTATACACATAATAGATAAAAGATGAATGGTAATTACATTTGGGTATACTGTAAGTGGGAACGCAGTACACCTATACAAATATTTTAATTCTTTTTTAAAGAACAATGCGGACTTACTGAAGATTAAAAGATTAATTGTAAAATTAAAAACAAATATATTATGAAATGTTTATAAAACTTGTCAATCCAATTCTTTATGTAAAAAATGTTTGCACACAAGATCAATATTAAAATGGCATACTTGTATCAGAGCTGCTTGTGATGACATGGAGTGCTTCCAATCCACACAGGTGCTACTCACGTGTTCACTGCTAAGAGCTGCGTAGCAAACTTGCAAGTTACTTTTTGGAGAAAAAGAAAAAATAATATAGCAATGGCCGATGAAACTTTTAAAATATTCTTTAAATATAATATCTCCATATGTTCTTATAATAAAAGTAAAATCTACAAAAGATCTCCATTTTTACATACAATACAAAAACTCAAGAGGTCAAAACAGCACATTAGCTGTATGTTTTTTTTTTCAGTCAGGTTTCAAGGAAGACTTGAAATTTAGAAAAGTGTCTTGTTTAATTCACACTGCACATTTCACATAGCCTTTTAATTTCTTCCAAGAAAAGGTCGCAGTAGGATGCCATACAGGATACAGTTGAACACTTTCCTTGGATATAATAGCTATATAAAATAGAACCAAAAAAAAAATCTTCATCTTTAGGTCTGTCAGACAAGGTAAAATCCAGGAACACCATCCTTCTGTTTGGGAAAAGAGAGGGGGCAAGGGAAAGAATTCACTGTGATTTCAAAACCTTTGACCCCGTAGGCTAAATGTCAGCCACTGATGTGCCATTCCTATAAAGTTGAAAAATCAGACCTAATATTCCTGAGTGCAAAATTGTAGGACTATCAGCAGTCTCAGACATAGTCTGTCCAGGCAGAAGGGAGTGAGGAGTGGCCAAGGTTGTGATGTGCAACATGTGCGCTTTGGAACTTTTACTTTATTATTATTTATTATTATGGATATTACTATAATTTAATGCTGTCCACACTGTTATGTGTCGGCAGGCTGGTCTTCTTCTACCACGACACAGGGCTCAACAGAGACCCCATCTTCCTCTTCCTCCTCTTCCGCTTGCTCGTCCAGGGGGATTTCTGTGGACTCAGAGTCCTGAGTGCAAAGGGTTTTGGAGTCACTGCAGCTGTTCTCCTCTTCCTCTTCCTCTTCCTCCTCCTCCTCCTCCTCCTCCGCTTGGCTGCCGCTGTCTTTCTCCGTGTCGGACTCGCCATCCTCCTCCAGTGTCAGCTCGAACTGGAACTTGTCCGCTGTGCCCTGCTGCCCCTCCTCGGGGTCGCCCGGGGCAGGTGAAGGGCTCTGAGGAATTGTGCTCTGGTACCACTCTCGATTGTCCTCTAGCGTGTCCAGAATGTCCTGTGCATCAGGATGGACCAGGTCTGCCCACGTTTCCCACAGTGGATGGACAATGTAATCAATAAATCCAACCTGCAAGCAAGAGAGAATGAGGAAGACCTGGTCAGTATCTCTTGAAATGCTTTCCTATATTAGAATGTCTGAAAAACAAATTGCACCTTAAAAACCATGGCAGAGAGGGAGTCCAATGGACACAAGAAAGGTAACAAATGAAGGTAAGACATTGGACCTTTCTAGTTGATTAGTTGCTAACTAAACCACACAAACATTAGCAAACACATGCTGTACACACCAAGCTTTTCAATCATTTTTATTTTCTTTCTCTTCTTGCTCTGAGTAAGGTTAAATCCACTGAAGCACTTTTTTTTGCCAATTTAAATGATTAATAATAAATTATCTGTGCAATCCATGTAGATACCATTGTCCTTTAAAATTCTTAATATTAGAATTGACCACAGAAAGGGCATTTTTTTAATGTTGCAGTAACTTAAAGATAGTTACACAAGACTAACTCTGAATAAAAAAAGCACTTTAACAGAAACAAAACAAGAACTGTTGCGACTGCACAAATTGGTTTGTTGTTTTCTTTTTTTTCATTAATGCTAACAATAACAAAGGAGCACTTGTGTCTATACCAAACTACCATATCTTAAAAACTACAGAAATTAACTGATAGATTCATTACCTGTTCCTATGGAGAAAGGAATGGTGCTTACCTGTGACTTTTCTACTGATGCATTGTGCTTGTCACACATGGGACTGATCTCCATGCCTCTTTCCCTCTCCCGGTCTCCTTGGCTGAAAAACTCCTCCATGATACGGTCTGTCCACTGTCGGTACAGCTGCAGGGGTTTCGTGGGATTGCTCAGATCTGCACAGTGGACCATGTTTTGTAGAACCTATGTATGCAATAAAAAGTAAAACCATTTCACAAAAAGAATGCAGTAGCAATCTGAAAAGCAATTGGTGACATTGACATGTGTAGACAAATACTCTGTGAAAGGTCTCAACCTGATTAAAACAAATGTGGATGACCCTACAGTATATCTCACAATGCAATATTTCAAGAAGAAACCACTCAGAATAAATAAGAAAATAGCAAAACCTAAGTGTAGAAAACTGGACTAACAGAATCAAGTCCTGGGTTATGTATGACAAAGAACAAAAATGTCCTACCTGTATTCTGTCTGAATAGTTATCCAAGAGGAGAACTCCAGAGCTGGTTACTTTTTTTGTTTCTACCATTGTTTTTAAGTCTGCTAGAAGGTTCATGTGTTTGGACATATCAGTGGCAAGAACCTAGAAAACAAAACAATCAAAGTGCTGTCAGGAATATAATGGGAAATCCTGCATGGTAAACAACAGAGCAAGTGCATATACTGTACATGTACTCTATATACTGTACAGTAGACTGTATCATATAGTACAGTATGTATCAGTCACATATTTCTTCAATTTTTACATTATCCATTAAACATTTAACTTGATAATATTTCATTTGAATATTTTTATACTGAGCATCCAATAATAATAATAATACTAATAATTATTATTATTATTAATAATAATAATAATAATAATAATAATATTTCTAATACCTACTGTAGATAGCTAACACATCATTCACAGAACTGCAGGTACTTACAATGTCAATCACCATCTTTCTTAATGATTGTCTCTGTTTTTTGGTCAGATTTTGGAAAATGTCACAGTTTTCTTCCTGCAGCAGCTTGAAACCCACAGCCAAATGATGATTCTCCAGAACAGAAGAGTCATTGTACATCAAGGCAAGCTCAGAGTCTGGAAACAAGCAAAGATTCAAATAAGATCCACATGGCAATGCAGTCAGTTAAACGAAAGTTACATTATTATTACCACCATTCCACACAAAATACTCTCGGACCAGAGCAGTTCTAATGTTTTCCAGGTTAGAAATAAATGTGTTCTACTTTACTTTAATCTACGTTCACTGTAAAGGGACTTGGTGAGGATGTGACAACGTTGAGGACATGGTAAATGTCTTATGCCTCTGAAAACATAATGATTTTCTCTTTTATAACAAAAACAGTGCTAATTTCAATTTGCTTTCATGTCCTCTAAGATTAAGGGGTTTTTAAAGAATAAATGGATGTAATGAAGATAATGATCCATTAACAAAATGCTACTACTGCCCATGAATCACTCTGGAAAAGCATTTTTTGGGGGTATTTTAAGGATAATGACTGCCCACTACAGGTGTATTATCAAAGAACCAATGTACCAAAGTGCTTAAAAAAACTCTCTTAAAATTTTCTTAAAATAGGAATTTATTCTCCCTTCCAATTATGTTTCAGTATCTAAATTATATATATATTTATTTCAAAGTTTTATTAAGTTAATATTTTAAATCAAAACCTACAGTAAATGCTCAAACTGAACAATTTTAGAGGTGAAAGTCAAATGTTTGCAAAAACTGCAAAGAAAAATATTAAAAAACTGAAATATATTTTTGCAGAAATATTTACCTCCCTGAGTCAATAATTTCACATGAGCATTTCATTGTGAGTTATAAATCACCAAATCACATTGATTCCAAAATTATTTGGTTTATATCTACAATATTTACATTTATTCTTCTTAAAACACACAACAACAAAGAAACAAAGTTTCTTTTGACAGTATATACACATTCTAAAGGAAGCGAGCTTGCAACGTTGTGACATTCTTTTGGTATATCATTCAATGTCAACAAATATTAGTTGAGTTAATTGAGGGTATTGTTGTTTAGGAATTACATTTACAATTTTACAATATATGTAGAGATGTGCAAAATAGGATGTTCTTGTTTATATAAAGAACATTTTCCTGCTTAAGTTTTTGATTCAGAGACAGGTCTTGCATTCTCTGGCTAACAGCTGTTCTGGTCTTCTAAGATGGCTGACAAGAAACTGCTGCAGTGCAGTTAGGTTTGAAGTCACTGAGCATTTTGCTGCCATATGAAGAATGTAAGAATATAAACAAAGGAGAAGAGGCCATTTGGCCCATTTAGCTTATTTGAATTTCCAGTTCTGTTTGATTTAGGATCTTAGCCATCTGTTTTATTTTTAAGAAATCCAGGATATGAACTTCCATTCCTTCTGTATTCTTTTTATGCAGGGAACATGCCAGATTCTGCTGCTAGTGCTGTGTTTGAAGTAGATTATACAAGGGGAATTTTGAGAATCCATGAGTTCTTAGGTACATCCCTACGGTATAATAGGAGAAACACAACATATTTCTTAATTGATTTAGTTGTTTCTGGTTTTGACACTTCTCTGATGTTTTACAATGTCATTGTCTGCCAATTGCTGTCTCTGTAGGATACAAATACAGACCTTCAGACTTTTACAGACTCTTATTTCTCATCATTAAACACCATTCTCCACTACCACTGCAGCAACTCTTCACTTTTGTCATAGGGAAGTTCTGATTCTCCTATCCCTATGGCCAGGCAGTAGTCAATCAAGGCCAGACATGTCAATAACTGCAGTTTGTGTGTATGTTCTGAATCTGAATATTATACAATACACAGTATTCTTCTTAATGAAAACGACAGTTGTCTGACAAACCTTTACTTTTTCTTACTGGCACAAAAGTCAGCCTTTCATAAATGTAATAATTTGTATATTAAAAAGAAAAATTAACTGTAAAACCTGTTTACAAGTCTTAAAATAATTTATCAATTTAATTAAGGAAAACCGCTACTGAATATTATATGATAACCAAATATTCTGCCCATATTCATCATAATGTACACAAATCTTTGTAATGGTGTTAGCACTGCAACATAATATTTTTAGTTTTTTTTTAGACATATTATCCAATTTTACATTTTTTCTGTTTTTTTTTTTATTTCTACTGTATGTCATAGGGGTATGAATACTTATCTTGGGAACTTCACAGCTCGCATCACATGATCCTATCACGGATCACATCTTCCTCAAACAAAACATTGCTTTTTCAGTTTGGTTTCAGATTTTACTCTTCGGCAATCACTTGATTACCAACTAATAATTGCAATATTTAATCTCTGTAATGCATTAATCACAGAGAACTGGCCCACTTCAGATCATTGGTCTTAGAAGACACTACAGTCAAGCAAGTGCTTTGCAATGTTTACCTTAGCCTGTGGCTCAAGTGCACTTACTACTGCCTACGCAATCCATATAAATTGATGGATGTCCTTTTGTTTGGAAGCGATGAGTCATCTAATAGCAGGTTACTGCAGGGGTTCCCTTTGGTTCACACAGAGGAATATTAAAGACTGGGGGAATCCACATCCTGACAGTAACACCAATGTTAGCAAATGAATAATGTGGTAAACTGCTATGCTGGTCATCCATGTACACGTTTTCACTAGGGACAACAACATCCAAGAATTGAAGAGATTGCAAATGTTTGGAATACTTGGCGAGATAAGTTTGGCTTAACCCATTTGTTTAATTGGTAGCCTCCTGGCCATAGGACGATAGGATGAAGAGGCTCGAACCCCATTCAGAGAGGAGTGAACCAGGGTGAGATTTAATAACTTTTCCATTAGATTTTATCATGAGACTATATTGTATATGTGTGTATGATTCAAGAATTATCATTGGTATTACATAAGAAACCTAATAATGTGTATGCCAAGCATTTCATACTGTATCTACTGTACCACGTGATACTTCGAAAAAACATGGATGTTAAATAATATGCCAAAGAATTGAAAAACTGCAATTAATTCAGTTGGACTCCCTTATTTTACTTTAGTCTAGTTTTATTTTCTTTTGATTTTTTTGAGTTTCTTAAGTTAATTCCTAGAAGCCTATTTTGCACAGTCACGAAAGATATATGAATTAGATATAATATACTGTAAAATGGGACAGATTAAGGTATAATTAAGGTACAGTTTAACAGGATGTTTGATATTACATGGATTTTGATCAGATTGGTCTTGGTCTGACCTACAACCCACTGTAGGCAACATGAATTCTCCACATAAGGCTTGAAATTAATTTTAATCAGCGTAAAATATGGGTGTGAAGTAAATTTTCCTTTTAATTTGTTTTTAGAAAGATACTCACTTGTATTAATAAGGAACTGGTTGGAAACACCAGGATGGTCTACATCATGGATAGCACTGGCAAAAATGGCAGCAAGAATCTCTAGATCTGTGAACACAGCCTGTAAAAAATCAAAAATGCAGTAGTTAGATTTGGGAAATACAATTCCAGAATAAAAGAAATATATATTTTTTGTTTAATTTTAAGAATATTTTTATTGAAACTAGAAACTGTTAAAAAATATAACGTTTTTGAGAAGGCTACTGAAAGAGCTTTTTTGGTTATTTAAGACATTCATTGCCTTTCCGTGCACAACACAACTACTTAACATCTAAAACCCAAATTGTGAATACTAGTGATCTACTAACAGCACAATGAGCATGCCTTTTCATGAGTTGTCCCCTGAATAGTTCTGGAAACAAAGAACAAATACAGTAGATCTGTATGTCCTTCTGTACAGTATATCTATCTGTCATAAGTGTAAATTAGCTAATTAAGAAAACTCAGATTAATAGGAAATTATCTCCTGACACTACCTGTCAGAGATTATGCAGGTCCTGTGCTGGTATTACCTGTCACCTTCGTGTTCATAGAAGTCAATCATCCTCAATCAAGATTGTACATTTATTTGCTTACTGCATTTTAATCTATTCTAAAGTCCATCAATTATGGACATGAATATCAGTAAGTACATTATGATAAACTCTTTAAATGTTTCTTGCCACTAGATGGCAGAAACTGCCTAAAGGCTTCTAATTCCACCTGTCGCAAGCTTACAGTTGCTTGAAAGGTTTTGATTTTGATTTTATGTACTGTATATGAAACAGAAGTGCAACTCTGTTTAGACAGATTAACTTTCTAGTGTTTTGAAATGACCACACTGGTGACTGTTGATAAATGTTCACATTGCCAAAACTCATAAAACTGCTTGTTCTTAGAAGACACTAACAGTTGCGCTGTGACAATGATCAATATATCACAACGGACATCTGTTTATGATGTAAATCTGTATGTATATATGAAACAGAAGCGCCAGTCTGTTTAGATAGCTAAGCTTTCTAGCGTTTTGAAATGACCACACTCGTAAATGTTAATACATGTTCACATTGCCTTTACCCATAGCAACTGCTTGTTCTTAGAAGATACTGATAGGAGATTCTTGACATTTATCTATACTGTATATCACAACAGACATCCGTCATTGTGCGGATATCCTCCCCACTTTTACCAGTGCCACATTGTGGGTATACGAAATGTTTAATTTCCAGCTACAAACTACAGTAAATTAAATAGTCTTGTACTTTATACAATGTAACTTGATGATTCTAAGAATATACTGTAACTACTGTACTTTTATTTCACTGAGCGCAAATAAAGCAATCAGCAGAGATTGGCTTTATTTCCAGAACTACAGGTATAAGCCTTTCATCAGGCAAATCACACTATTTTGTCAAACGAAGATTCACTTTAATAGTTTCATTTCAAATGATGTTTGATGTTCCTACTGTATGTAACATTTTATAATACATACATAAAAAATCCCCCAGTTTACTCCATGTTTAAAGTTTTCAGCATTTCAGAATGTTATTTCAGCGTGACAAATTAATCTAGATATTACATTTCAATTCAAGAGTCAGACCGCATTCTACTCCTATTTTATTACACATTTTAAATTAAAAATGACCTTAAATTAAGGTACTGTATGCTTGAGTGTGTATTGAAAGTTTTTAAACTTATTTGAAGGAAATTTGTCAGGGGAGATCTACAAATAATATATTCTTACAACACCGCTCCTGTGTTATAACTAATAGGAAGGATTTCTGGCAAAAAAACACATTCCTTGTTACATATAACTGTACATATTTTTTTTCTTTCAGTTGTCAGTAATAACTTAAAGGTTTCTAAAAAAAATGTTTGAGGTGTCTGTAGAACAAATCTATTACTTTTGTATGGTAGATAGAGTACTGTAGGATAAATAATTATTGCCTTATATATTAATAACTGATATTATATTTACTTATATTACTTATATTAAATCAGATTTAAAAGTACACGTACTGTATATGTTTGAAGAGTAGGCATACAAAGCACTGGTTAATTTCTAAGCCTGTTACATAAAATTTCAACCTGGAAGCCTTAGTTTTTTTCTGAATGTCTTGCTGTCATTAATGTGTTTAGAAATAACCCCCCCAAAATAAACGTGATCAAGGTCTACTTCAGTAATATACTGTAGCTCTTTCAGAATTCACCCTTCTGAGCATTTCTTTGGTTGGGAATATTGCTTTACAGTGCAACACAATGTTTTTTTTTATTTCTGATTATAGTTTAGGATCCTTACTTCTAGAGCAGGTGTGGATAGCAGCACATGGGTCGACTGAGCGACATCAGCAGCATGGATGTTGTTGTGATATGCAACATCTCCATGATAATGATCTTCTAAGGTCATCAAGTAGGTTATAAAGGTGTCTAAAGGAATTTTGAATGTTTTTAACAAGTCTCTTTCCTAAAAATTTAAACAAATGACAAGAAAAGGGTTAGCAAGAATAACAATAATGCATTTGTAGGTGAAGAGTATTTTTAAATATTTTCTGAATGTTTTACTTGATTTCATGCTAATATCAGTTTTAAAATGTCTTTAAGATTTCCATTGTACTGAAACGTTGTATTGGAACACTAAAAGATATGTTATGTCACATGAGAAACATTCTGGTCAGTCCTTTTTTTCAAACCTTGAGTAACCAATAGGTCAGGATTTTAAAGAGACAATCACATTCCTGTTGACTTTTTACAGATCTCATGGGATAACACTTCTAAAATCAAATCTACAGTCTTATAGTGCTTGTATAATTAAATACTTGAATATAAGGTTTCAAGATGGTAATAATAGCTAACAAAAGGAGGACAGTTTTCCCATTGTATGCTGTACTAATTTCCCTGCAGGTATCTGGTTTTCAGTATTTAGGAGATTTTGTCCAAGTTTTCTATTCCCCTCACATAGGGTTAAAACAACAATCAAATTACACGAAAAAACAGGACTGACTTTGTTTTAATTTAATAGTTTGCTTGCTAAGTATTACAGTCAATTAAATAATGTCTCACCTGGAAGATTGTGTACATGATGACTGTTAAAGGCCTGTTTCCCGAAAACTCTGTAACTTTGAAAACATTAAGGCCCCATTTGTTTACATCTTCCAACTCCTGTAAAGATAATTAACAGTTTGTGTTAATTAAACACATATGTAATGGACATGCTATTAAAGTCATTTACAGTGTTCTAAGTATGATTTCTATTTGCATTTACTATACTGTCAATAATAAAATTGATTACAAGGAGCAGTATATTCTGATTTTTTTTACTCTAAAACATATATTACTAAAAATATAATTAATTATAGTTCATTTTTAATGCTTAAAGTCATGTTTACTGTTATGAACTAGAAACATAAATTCTAGGAAGCTACAGTACAGCATTTCTCTGACTTTCAAACAAATGAAATGTCCAAGTATCAAAAGTATTTTTTTCCCTAATACAAAGATACAATCAATGCACCTAAAATCTCTTAGTTGCACTCACCTTTGCCAGTGAGTCTTCTGTGTCTGTTTTCACACCGAACCGTGGAATATTAGAGTTGGTCAAGCTGGAACTGTGCATTAATTTCTTTACTCCACTGATCTGTGACATTGGCCTTTTCTTCTTGTCTTTCTCTTTCTGTGTCAGGGAAGGCATTTCAACCTCATGTTGTTTATCTGTTAAAACAGAGAGGCAAGCATAAAGCTGAATGAATCTCCTCAAATTAACTGGCAGCCTTCAGAGCACAGTAAACATAACTAGCCTGTGACTTAAACTAGTAAAATGTAAACAGCCTAAGAAACAAATCTGAAGCTACCTACTGTAAATGTATTATATTTTCTCAGCTCTTAATAAAATATAAAATGAGTATATTACTTATATTCTGTATGATGATTTTGATTTTCAGAAGAGTGGGTTTGCAGAGAAGCTGCCTGACAGATATTGTAATTGTCGTCTGTGCAGTGTGTACACTCATCAAATGAGAGGTCATAAGTCATGCTGTCAGGTGATCTGAAGCAGAAGGAAGCATTTGTCTCAAGGGTTTCACATTGATATGGAATTCCAAAGGCTTTCCTCTAAGCTTAAATCAAACTTACTGAACATATATCCATAGTGAAAGGTCTCAAGTGTGCTTCATCAGACTCCTATTGAAAAATCTGATGTGATTTCAACAAACTATGCAAATAAATATAACATTTTATGCTGCGGTGATGGAGAATTCCTAGACAAAATTCTGGGACCACATTCTGACACCATCTGCTCCTGCTTTTATAAATGTAGATTTGAATGTAATACACAATGATGATGAACCTAGAGTTGTAAGCAAATAATTCTAAAGGTATTGGTGTCGCTGTAATCAGTGTGGATTAAATTTGTAGTTCAACATTACGGGAACTCTCATTATTGACATACTGCATGTCACCAATAACTGAATAGCACTATTTGCATCAGATCCTTTAACTATGAACTTCATTCTGAACCTTTTAAGTCATGTGCTGTATGAAGAGTATTCTTATCAATATCCTAAATCATACACTGTACTGTATGATTACAGATAACAAATATCATGGACCTGAAAATGTTTCTTTGTGAAATGTGGTATAATTGTCTTAGGCGGAAACACAAGCTACTGTACATACTCAAGATACAGTAAGAACATTTTAGGAACTTTTAAACAGCAAACATTACAAATAATATTTGCACAATGAGGTGAGAGAAGCAAAGTAATTCAGTTCTTGGAATATGTTATTAAATACAGCCAATTCTTCATATGAGAAAAGACATAGCGCTGAAAGCTGTCACATGCACACTGCCATAAAATCCACCAGAAAATCTGAATTCAGAGCATGTCACAAAAGAGAGAGCCAAACATCAACTGCATGTGTTTATTAAAAAAAAAGAAAACACAACATTTCCTTTCCCATCATTATGCCACCTTTTTGTTTGAAGTTAGAAAATATGCCAAGAAAACCTAATCTTTCCAATCAAATTTGCTTGAATGAATTATTTTTACGTGGGGCATTCTTCCTTTGGCATGCTATTTACATGGTGACTCAGTCAGAATTCAAGGATCTTGTCTCTCTGCAGGCAGTGAGAGCCTGGACATCAGCACTATATCAGGTGAATACTAATGAGTGTGGTCTGCAGCCTGTTATACTGCCAGGGCCTCAGCACTGTTTTATCAATTCTCTGCATAACCAAACTGAACAGTATGTCACTAATTCTACATAAAGTATACCCCTTCACTACTATGATGCAAAGGCCTCTGCCTACCATATCTTTCTTATTTATTTGCACAAAAGTCCTTATTATGCTTTATAATACATCATGTGTTTAGTTACCTGGTATCTGCATACTGCATGAATATATACATCTGCAGAAAACTCACTGGGAGAGTGTACAAGCTATATCTTGACTTTGCACATTTTCCCTAAATTTCACGTGGGTCTTTCACCATGCCACATGCAAAAAATGTTTCTTATATTTTAAATAACAATATTAGACTGCTTTCTCAAGGCCTTTGCTTTATGTACAGAATCTTGTCCCACAAATCTCTGGTCCCTCATCATGCTTCTCTGTCCACAATAGCAGACAGAGTTTGGAACAAGCCACTTCATATAGCTTGTTCCTGCATGCACATGCAAAAGAGACAATTACAGAAGCAGAACAATGTACTTTTAAGACTATGCTTAGTACAGCTGTTGAAAAGGAAAACATCTTTTTAAAATTCTTATTTTAAAATATTTTTTTAATGATAATACTTCAACATATATTTAAACCTAAATCATTAAGACACGTTTGATGGATGACGACATACCTAAAAATGTGTTTGAAATGTATTCTGAAACCTGGTTCCCGGACCGGCTCATTTCAGAGAGATGGGTCAGCTCCCGGTTTAGCATTCTCTTAAACTGAAAAACAAGAATCAAAGAAACAAAGATTACAAATCTGTATGACCTATACTAAAATGTTGATCTTCTTTACTGACATTTGTATGCTCACATCCTCTCATGACTTTAAATAAAACTTTATCCTATTCAGGGTCAGAACTTATTCTAGGCCCAGAACCTATATACTGTACATACAAGTACACACATCAGGGCAGGCTTTTTACAGAAGCCAATTCTGTATTTTTGTTTTGCAGAAGCCATTTACCTAATGAATGTTTTTGGACTGGAGGAGGAAACCAGAGCACTCAGATGAAACCCAAAGAGACACAAGGAGAACATACAAACTTCACACAGACAGCACCCCAGGTTTGGAATTGAACCCAGGGCCCCAGCATTGTGAGGCAGCAGTGCCAACCAGTGCACCACTATGCTGTCCTCATTTGTATATTGTCAATATTGAAACACTTTACCATGCATTTCTTGAACTAACATGTTTAAATACAATTGAAACAGAATACAAATACCATTTAGGTACAATACTAGCATGGTAAACACTCAAGATGTTTATGTATCATTTGGATTTTGTTTTGGGCAAAGTTTATTTTCATGTTTCACAAAAAATATCATGTAAACATTATTTGTATTTTCTATCATTTATAAAGAAAACAATGTGTAAAATATTAGTACTGCCACACCAGAAGCTAGCAGGAACAGAATTATATAACACAATATAGTACACGTGTTATGCATAGAAATCTGGTTTTAGTATAGATTCATGATTATACTGTATAACTTTTTTAACATTGTAGTTATTTTAAAATTTTGGTTAACAGCAAGTAGTTTAGAGTTATCTTAACAGTTAGCAGTTAAGGAGGCTGTAAGGTAATATGGAGGTTATATTATGAAATGTTAGAGAAGTATTCCAACCTGGCATATTTGTAAATTTTTCATTTTCATGCTGGTATAAGATATAACCCAACCGAATTGATCACAAAGTATGTTACAGAAGGGAATGGCTAAATGTTCTAGAAACAGTAAAAAATTGTTCTATAATTAATTTATGGCAAGCTTCCAATAAGAATATTTCACAAAGAATTTCATCCAGGAAAGATATGACTCCATGAAATGGCTTTTGTAATTTTACGTGTCAAGGAAAAGAGAACTGTTTCTTTCTAAGACATAGTGGAAATCACGGTATTATCAAAATTCTGTTAAACTTTAGATGCTGACATTTTTTTAATAATCCGAATTATTAATATGACAGGGTTTCTCTTCCAATAAAAGATCAACTGAACTGAGAGGTGGACTAATCTTTTGTTTTTATTAAAATGGAGCAGAATCTGGCATGTGAATTAATGTGCAGTCACTTAGGTACAGTATTATAAATGCAAAACACAAGCAAATTGAAGGGACAAATGTACTGACGTGCAATGTGTGAAGAATTTTACATGCCCCAAAAAGCATCACCCCTGTATTCTTCAAAGCAGGTGTGAATACATTTTGAGCTACTTGGAAACCCAGACTCTAATAGCTGTGATGGGCTAAGATGGCCCCCAGCCACTGCATCTTGATAAGACTAAGGATTGTGAGATGGATTCCGAGAGGAGCATGCAGGGTTGGCATTTGCTGGCAGGGAAATCCTTAGCAGTGTGCAGCAGTGCGTGGGAATAAAGGAGGCTGAAAGGGCAGACACAGCACAGCACATAAATAAGATATTATAGTGTATGCAGTAAAAGCTTTCCTTCACAGAAGGTAGCCACCAATGATATAACACAAACACAATTGAATGTGCCCAGTGAAGCCGTTTTCCAAGGATTCTAAAGCAGATTAAGACAGAGATTTTTCTTTGGAAATAGCTATATTAATTGGCCTGCAAAACTAGTGATCAGAAATCTATACTGTAAAAATGTCTGCAATGAAACAATGACATTTTCCAACAAATGTATTTTTTTTTACCATCAGTACTGTAATTTTCTGTCATACAATTTTCCAGAAAAAATTTAATTCGCATTTAAACCATAACCTACAGTAACTGCGTGTTCATCTTTAATGTTATTCAAAACCTCAAGAAATTTAAATATGTCATTCCTGGTGCACATGTGACCTGATGAGATAAAACAAGACCTGCATTTACTGCAATGCATTTTTTCATATGAAGAAAACTATGTACTGCAAATGGTTTATGCGTTTACAGCTGTAGCGGAATGAAAGAATCTCCCTGATTGTGTGCACAGCCTTGAGCTAAAGAAGACTGCAGAAAACACATCTGAGTCTGCAAGATAAAACCTGCTTATCCTTTTTCTTTTCCAAACCAGCAATTACTGGTAATAGACAAGTCCAACCTCTCCATGATGCAGTAGCAATGTTTAAATCCACTCCAACCAACTCAATTGCCTGTTCCTTAAACACCCAGTAGTGGTTATCCTTTATCAATGTACAGTACATTACATTCTTTATTGATACAAGCAAGATACAATCTACTAGAATAACACTGCTTATCCAGTACTATTAAGACAGAAATGGTAATTTGCACATATTTTTGGATGAACAAACATACTTAATCACACTTTTCAGCCAAACAATTCTTCCAGATGTAAAAGAAGAAACAATAACAATAGCTAGCAAAAAATACATAAAAATATTCTACTAATGCAAGCTAGTGGCATAAGTAAGTTATTTGTACATTTGTAATTTTAAGTTTCTCAAATAGCTGTATAGCAGAATAAAATGCAGTGTATTCTATATATTTTTTTAGGAACTAACACAATACAGATAAGAGTATGAATGAACCATTTTGATGCCCCAGTTTGTCTACAATGTTCAGTGCATTGAACAGATGTTCTCATTATTGTTAATTAAAAAGGGACAAACCTTCTGACAAAATGCTTAGAAATCTACATATCTAAAAAAACCTAATTCTTACCTTTATATATCCCCAAGAAACTGACAGCAAATAATTTGCTTCAGGCATTTTGAAAAAATGTTAGATTTTGCAAACACCAAAAAAGAACAAAAAAATCTAAGAAAGAGCTGCAGTAGATCACTCAGCAGCAGATCTCCAGTAAAACAAAAGACAATAAGAAACTGTTAATCCATTGATTGTTTTAGATTATCTTATTTGTGCAGTACAGAAGGCGCATCTTGGGTATCCTGACAGAGCAATTCATATTTTTATCGATTCCCCACGTTGAAAATCCCATTTGTAAATGTCCAGATTGGAGATATGTGTCAGGTAAAGCTGAAGCCAACCAAATCCAGGATTTGAAGGGAGAGCCAAGAAATAGCATCTTCTTGCGTGCACCACAGCTTGATGAATAATGTATGTAGAGAGATGTTAAGCTCCTGGAAGGAAAAGTTCTGTCAACAGCTACCAAATAAGGATCTCTACATACTGTCAGCCACATACAACACATGGGTAATTCCCCCCCACTCCTAATCACCAGCCTATCATTTGGATTTATAAAAATGTACAAGACAGAAAAAAAAAACAAAGAAATGGATGCTGCAAGCTGATTGGTAGTAAATGGAAGGTGAATCCTTTGGGACTGGGATTTGTCCTTTCTTTTCAGCAGTACTGTATAAGCCATAAGCCATTTAACACAGGCGTGTCTGAGAGTGACATCCCCCGAGGTACATTTTGTACAATATTCCTTACAGAGAAACATTACCTCATTTTCAAAGTGATTTCACTGTTAAGGGGAGTAATTCCGTGCCTCTGTGCACTGTGAAGTTACGTTTTAGCACACAATGATTTATGAAGCGCGGTGTACTCACCACAGTGTTACTGTAAGCAGAAAGTTCCACATTGTCTATAGTGCATTTATTTCAAATAAAATGCTCAACGACATGCATATATTCTATTTTTTAGTTTATTGCACAAAACGATGGGTCATGAAGGTTCTGTTCTATTCTCTGAAACACACATCTCTCATAAATGCTTCGATGCTAAAAATAATATATTTAACATTCTTACTATTTTTAATGTATCCAAATATAGCATTGTTTTGTGCTAAACCATGATTAATTAAATTTTCACAAATCAATTTGTTATTTGCTGCAGCTATAAAAGATGACCTGTTATATTCTGTTTTTTGTTTTGTTTTGTTTGTTTGTATATTTTGTTTTTAAAGGGCAATGTATATGAACTTCCATTACAAGTTTAATATGTAAAATACAGTGCCTTTACAGTATACTGTATATGTAAAGATCTTAGAGATTGACCATCCCTTTGTGTAATACTGTATACAGTATATCCATGTATAAAATGTACAATGTATTTCATTAGTCTTTTAATCAAATATCTTGATTCACCATTACAAAATTCTTAAAAAGAGCAATTTTTTTCTGAGTTATAAACTTAATCGTTTTTCAAGAATGGATATGCTCATTATTCATTCAACTATTGTTTCAAAAATAATTATAGCAATTACATTTAAATAAGGTGATATTACTCAAATGGTAGCAATGACACCCACCCTTTTGTCAACCGGACAAATGAAGGCCTTTCGAGTCGATTAATTTAAAAAACAAATTGAGGGCTCTTTTTGTCTTCTTTAAAAGGGACCCACAAGGACTAATGAAACAAAACAAAAAAAAGACCTCTATAAATATATAAATAGAATTTGCTGTGGCACATGAACTTCTGTCTAGCGTGCACTATGGAGTGTGTCTGCTAAGTGTAAATGTGACAGTGCACCTCTGTTCCTGCCAGCATCTGATTATGGTACTTTGGCTTCAAAGCTGCTCAGCGCCACTAACAGTGGAGAAGAAGATTTCTGGCATAAGAGAATTCAGTTCTAAGGAGGTGACATTACCTTTCTGTAAAAGGCTCAGTACTAATAATCTCTATTACATGAAAAACATCTTCTGTAAAATCATTTGGTTTCAGAAAAATCACACTTGTATAGCCTTGTTCCCAAAGGATCTCAAAGCTCTAAACATTTCAGATCAGGTAGAGAAGTTAAGGGAAAGTTTTAAGGAGGCCAGACTGAACAACCACTTTAGCCACAACCGTAAGGGTC